CTAAATCGATCTTCAAATTTGGGCACAAAATCATAAATTTCAGGAATTTGTCAAACCTCATGAGATCCATGACTGAAGTTCAATCTAGCTATGTTCATTCCATCGGTAATCATTTGCCGTAACGTCTCTACCGTATCGCATGCTGGTCCTGAAAGTCCATTATTTTAGTTCAAATAAGGGAACTTATAAACAATAGTCTAAGGCATGTGCTATGATTACATTCACATGCATTGCACCTGGTTACGAGGACGACTAAAATGACTAGAATGCAAAAAATGTCTGACTATATGAACTGAGAAAAAACCAAAACTACTCATTAACGAGGCTTACAACTTACTGTTTTTGAAAATTATTTTTTGTAAATCTTTTTCAAAGCAAGCACGCTAAAATCTTGTAGATAAGTTCGCCTAATGCAAATAAATGGATTTTTTGTTCTAAAATCATATTCTCAAAATCTAAAAGAAGATGGAACCCATATAGTCAATGTTCGAGCAGTTGTTTTCACTATATGTAAATTGTTGACTAGATTACAATTTTTGCGGGGTTTTTGGCTTTGTTCTCAACGTTAATTTTTCATGATTTTGCAGAAGTGTCCAGGATTTTTATAAAGTTTGTGCTCGTCTACCTTCTAAAAACCTGATCGAAAGAACTTTTCAAGGGTCTCTGATCAGCATATAGCAAACCCTAATTCCTTCAATTCAGTAATAACTACAGAAATTGTTATTTTAAAATCAAAGCTGTAAGCTGAATAGATCGAATTATAATTACATTATTACTTATAGATTATTATTATTATTACATTATTACATTTATTACTTATAGATCGAATTATCACCGAAGTATTAGGATGTCAATTTTACTCAGAAAAGCAGTAAAGCAATAAAATTTATTCCATACTCACCTATAGTACAGATGATACCAGTCTTTCTGTGTTTTGAAGGAATATCGCCAACATTGAGGTTACATAAATGTTCGAGCTGAGTCGCAGGATTGCTTTGGTCAAGGCCCCTGAACAAAATACTCAATGATAGACGAGAAAGTGTTGAAATTCGAGATTTCATTGCTCTAGATAAGACGACCGACCAAAATTTCTGTTGTTCTAGTGAGGGATCGTGATGGTCGTGAAGCATGATCGAATTTTAGTAGGGTTTACTGCGCTAGTTGTGCACTCTTGAACGCTTTTCGCATTGATTTGCTCCTTCCCATATATTGAAATCTGACACTACCTTTTCAATAGCATTCGGTCGTACTCGTCCGAATCACGAAAGGCATCGCATTCACAAGAGCACAAAATATTTCGAAGGATATCCGCAAAATGAGTTTCATACATGGGAGAGAGTAGAATTGCGTAGATTCCGTCTGCCTCAATCTTACATTTAGCTCGACTTAATCTGTACTTGTTTTGTACGTTTAAGGCATTTACAGGGGCTCACACGCAACCGTTTCCATGGTTTTCTCCCTATTTTCATTTCCTTAGCACCCTAGACCTATGCCTCACCAATGAATAGACTGTGAGAACAAGCGCAATTAACGCATACTTTAGGCTGGAACGAAGATTTGCTAAATTTACAAGGAACATCCAAATCTCTAGAATTTTCCCATTACGCACGTGATTTGTAGCTTATCACGTATATATGTCACACTCAAAACTCAGATTTGAATTTTTTTGAATTTTTTCG